CAGCTGGAATTCTTAATTTAAAAAATATTTCTTCAATTATTTAGTTGCAGTTGTATAAGAATATTAGGATGAATGATAGAGTCCTTCCCTTTCTTTCTCAGTTTACAGAATGCATTGGTTACACAGTATTCACCAAATGTGATTAAGGAATTTTTATTACGTAAAAAATTATCATTTTTATCACTAATTAATGTCAATCAATTTTTCAGTAACTTCTACTTGTTTTGCTACTAAAATTGCCTCGTCCTAACAATAGAATCCTCTTCCAATTGTACCATGAGAATTTTTGATATGTAGTCTTTGAAATCTTTCTTAATTTTTTAGGATAATAAGTTGTTTCAGACGAATTCTGCATATTTTTGCACCCTATCTAGACTTAATCATTTATTCAGGGTCCCCTGATTTATTTTAATGTAAAATGCCATATAAGAGGCTACAGTCTGCTCACCAAGGTGGTCAGCGTTACTGGGTTCGTCATTGTTTTTAGGCTTTTTAGAATATGAGGCTTGGAATCACATATGAATATAAAAGATAAAATGTTTTATGTGTATAATAATGTTTTTTATTGTCAAAGCCAAATTAACAAAATATTACCACCAATAGACGTACTCTGGATATTGAAATAGTGATATTTAGTGGTGAGTATTTTTTTCGTTTTGAACTAAACACTTTTACCCACTTCTCCAAAGTCAATCTTTAAACCATTCATTTCCAACATGGGAAAAATTATATTTCTTTTCATTTATATGACAATGTTATGATGACACATTTATAAAAATGTGAAAATGTATTAAAAATTAAAATGTTGCAGTCAGCTTTCAATGATCAGAAAGTAGCTTCTTCTTTGGTATATCCCAGCTTTGAAAATTACTGAGGAAAGTGCTAAATGATTTATTTTATTGGCAAAACTTTCTGAAAATTACACAGAAAAAAATAAACAAAATCTTTAAACAGAGTTAGTAACCAAGGAGTGTTCATGACAACCACAGTCAGTGCAATCCCTGACATGCCTTTTGTCCAAGCGCAAAGGGAATAATTAAGGTGCGTATTGAATTTCGTATCAAAAAGCAGAATAGTATTTTGTGCATCAGATTGCAGCATAAGACTCGGGACCTGTAAAGACCATGCGGAACAACGGGACCATCTGTAGATGAGTGTTTGATGACATTTTTGAAGCATCTGTGATGACATAGGTCATTCACCCAGACTTCAACTATCTCACACCCTCACTGGGGTTCAGCTGAGTAACTTTGAAGCAACCCAATGAATAGCTACTATTGACATTTTCTAAAAATAAGACATGAGAAAGGAAAGTTTCAACAAACTTCTTCAATTCATTTCAACTCAATAAACATTTTTGAAGACTCACTAATGTGCACTGTCTTTGCTGCTCTATGCATCTCTCTTATCTATTAAATGTTCATCCTGCTTCAGATCCCTGTCAGATCTATCCTTCATGCTGTTGATACAAGAATCTTTTTCAAACATACTCCTGGTAGGGTCACTTCTCCACCTAAAATCCCCAGGATAAAATTCAGTAACTTTAGCAAGATAGAAAATGTCATTAATGATTTGTTCCCTCCATCTCCTCTCATATCTACTTATCCCCATGCCCCTGACATGCAAAGCTATTTATATGTCTTCTTGTGCTATTCTCACCTGAATCATTTGTGCAATGCTTATGTTATATTCTCTTCCTGAAATGGTCATTCTGTCTTAAATGGTCTATATAGTAGTTGGCTTTTGGATAACTCACACATTGCCTTCTACACAGAGTCTTCCATGATTTTTCGTTTGCTTAAATATCTGTGGCTTCTTTCCATTAGAATGTGAGTGATTAAAAGGCAGGAGGCTGGCTCATAGGTCTTTTTGTATAACCAACCCCCACTTCTGCAACAGTACCAGGCAAAATAAAATGTAAAAAAAAAAAAAAAGATGTTTTATTTAATTGCTCAAACCAACCCTACAATATATCAAACAGCTGCCATTCCATTGGAGCCCTGGGTATCTCAAAGACTTACTCAGCATCTCTGTTTCAAGGGGATGTGAAAGAGAGCATTTCTTAGTAGAAAGTTTTGTAACTATGTGAAAAGTAAACAAAGAATGTGAAGCATGAAATGGATTACATGGAGTAGCTTTGTACTTGTCAGAAAGGAGACTGATTAGCTTTCTGAATCTTCAGAGTGGCAGTTCATTATTTTATTGGTTTCTAGTATAAGCGAGATATCCAAATTTAAACACAAATAACAAAGGGATTCCATAAACAGATAAATATTATATTTGCATTGACAGTCATCATTGCCTCATGGCTTTTGAGGGTGCCAAGACATAATCCAGGCTGTCTTCCTACTCGAGCCACTGTAAAAGCACTAGACCTGGAGATGTAGGTGACTTCCAAAGTGAAATAGCTGAATGGTAGCAGAAACTGAAAACATGCCTTGGTTTCTGAACTCTTAATCCAATGTGCATTTTACTAGAGTAAGGGCTATCAAATTATAAATAATATATATCACAGTAAAACATCTGCATTAAATATTTTTAGTTTCACAATAAAAAACTTCATTATTGACCAGCATTTAATTTTAGACTCAAAATTTGTAAAAATATTAGGTTATACTTTTCTTTCTTGCATATATATTTAATATCTATTTTTAATTTTTTTCAAACTGAATTATGTTTTAGACTTTATATGAACAGCTGTATAGTTCTTTACAAGAGGTGGTCTATTTGATGGTCCAGTTAAGAAAGTTGCATTTATCTTACAGCACTGAGAAAGTTTAGTATGTTACAGACAAAATTAATGAAGGGAGAATGGAGCAACCAACTTTTTACATAAGAAAATAGGATTATTTGAAGAGAAGTAAAAAATCAAATACAAACGAGCAAAAATGTCACAATAAAGAGGATCTGAGAAGGAAGAAAATAGAAATGAGTTAGAGGCATTACGATGTTCATTACTGCTTATAAAAATTAAGTAGAAAAGCTACAAAAAGATATTGATATATATTATGTCCTGAATGTTTGTGTTCCCTCAAATTTCATATTAAGTATAAATTAGGAACCAAAACTCATATAGGTATGGTACTAGGAGGTGAGGTCTTTTGGAGGTGAAAGAACCTCTTATGTCATTAGTGCACTTATAACATAGGCCCAAGAAAGCTCCTTTGTTCCCTCCACCTCATGAGGACACAAGGAGAAGGCACTATCTGTGAGAAAATGGGTCCTCAGCAGACACTGCACATGCCTACACCTTGATTTTGGATTTCCCAGCTCCCTGAACGGTGAGAAATACGTTTCTGTCATTGATAAGCCCCCCAGTCATGCAGCGGATGTATTTTGTTAAAGCAGTTTGACTAGACTGCAACAACCTGGTAAAAACATAGGAAATTATTTTTATCTCTGAAGGTATTTTAAAAAATACTAATTCAATGATACGGTGGGTGTCAAGACTTGGCAGTTTCTAAAATATCAAATAATGTTAAATGTTAACACTGTGTATAAAAAGTGGTTGTAGAATCCCTGAAGGATTTTAGTAAATTTTAGATTAACCCTCATATGCCTGAAACGCAGAGATACAAACATGGTTGTAGGATGTGGGCAAAACTGTGAGACGTCTCACACATAATTCTTCGTAAGTAGACATAGGTAAAGGAAATAAGTTGACATAATAATAATATATCACATAATATAATTAAAGTGATGCTTCAAACTTATAAAGATATTTGCATGATTTTATAGATTATTGGATATATGTAACATCAGAAAAAAGCCAGCAAATGCATTATCTGAGAATGTCCTTCGATGTTAATTCTTTTCTTTTTTCACTGGCTATTAATATCTATATATTTGAGGGCTTTTTTCTCGACTTGTAATTATGCTATTTTTGTGATTTAATTCTATCATAAAAATGGCCTATAAAATAATATTATTCTATATTGTGTCCCATTTAGGATATGGCTGTCATGGCTCTCCGGTCCCTTCACCTCACAAAATCATCAGTAAACTGAAAACCACTTTCACTCTTCCATTACAGAGTTTTCCCCATCTTGGAAGCATTCATACAAGATGCCATCAATTAGCAATTCTCTTCCCATGATTTCTGTGTCTGCTAGTTTGTTACAAAGGTTGCTAATTCTTCTTTGCTCCCTTCCATTTATGTTTAATAATATCCCTAATGTCAAGCAATTCCTCCTAATAGGAGGATGTTTTACTCACTATACTCTGTTATGAAGTAATATAAAAAATCTTATTTATTTGAACTAATAATTTCCCTTTAGTATGTTGGAAATGACATTAAAACTAGATTTTTAAAATATTAGAGTTAATATCATATACCTCATAATTTCCTGAATTTAATTAATATGATATTGAAAGACTGAAGTACACTTTAATATTAAAAATTCCCATGGGCAAGATCTACTTTATTTTGAAGCCAGGTTCTGGGATTGAGCAGATGTTAGACGTAAAAATTCATGAATCTTCCAATGTTTAAGTTAACTTTGCAGGATAAATAAAAATAAAAATTTTCCATTTGACTTTTTAAAGAAATATGCAACACTAAAAAATATTTTTTCCCATGTAGATATAAAAGTTACTCTATTTTTGGAGAGACAGATTCAGTACTAGTTGTATGATTATACTTTTCCTCAATTTTTATACTTATTTTTCTGCACTGAAATTAATTTAAAAAGTTTTATAAATGAGAAATTTACCAAGGCTATCATGAGAAATTTGGTCTTTTTGGAAAGAGGCGTTTATGACTTTTAGTTGGAGTGATGTAGAAATTGACTGCAAGGTTGTAAACACATTTTTTTTCAAAATTTGAATGCAATAAATATGTTATAAATGAGATGCATTATCTACTACATTTAAATAAGATAATATAAAAAAAAACTAACATATCCATGCATCGTTGCTAAGAAATTTCTTCTTTTTGTATTGGACTTATAAATGCAGGCACTCTCATCTCCATATTATTGAGACATTTAAAAAATACTTACCTTTTATCTGATGTTTAATCTTTCATCTTATTCTACAAACTCAGGAATCAGCTCTATCATGGTTTGTTGTTTCACTACCACTTCACCAGCACCTAGAAAAGTATCAAGTGCACAACAGGAGGTCAATATATATTTGTAGAATGAATAAAAGTTAATGAATGAGTAGATACTAGTTCCAAGCAAATTAATACCCACATACAATTCAATTTTCAAAACTGTGTTTTTCCATAACAAGCATAACACCTGATTATTTCCCTAAAGTTCTAAAATCTTAAAATTCATTAAGACGCATTCACAAGGAGACTCCAGTATTTGGTTCACTGAAGAGTTATCAATTTTCAGTTGAAAACAAGGATGAAACCACACCTATTCAGGACACAGACCATAATCAATTACAGTTCTGATACCCACCAGGACCCAGTCTGCTTTTACTAGAACCGTGAAGACCACAGTAAGCCCACTCCACTTTCCAGTACACCTGTGCTACACAGGAAGTTGCTAGTCTCCTATTTCCTCCCACAAACATTGTTTTCATGTTATTTGGTATGTCCTCAATTTCACATTTTTTTTCCTGCTGGCAACTTTCCTCTTGAAATCTCTCTGATCCCCATCCTCTGAAATCACATTTTCCATTTTAAAGGAAAGGCTCTGAATCTCTTCTGGAAGAATATCTCCTTTACCAGTTTGCCTTCCAAGGACGTGGCAACCTTTAGACCCTTTGTGTAGAACAATCATCAATTTTAGAAAAATTTGCACTAGGTCAGGTCAAGCAGTTGGCAGCTGTTAGATCTCTGAAATTAGTATCACTGAGGAGTGGAGATTTCATATTTTAGTTACTGTAGATTGAGTTAGAAGCACAAAAAATACTTCAAAACCATCCTTTCTCACACTATTGAGTCTTCAGTTTCAGGATTTGATCAACTGATTGTCTTTCCTTAATCGCCCTTCAGTCTGTTGCACAGTTGTTAATCACTGTCCTAGGAATTCCGTTTTCTCTTTATTGGATCGTACCTGTATCACTAGGGTCAAGTCAGGAAAAGAGAAATTACTGTAATTATTTCACTGAGAGTGACATTAATACCAGGGATTGGATTCAAAAGTGATGGAAAAGCTGAACAACCACCAGGGAAAGGTGAAGCAACCAAGCCTTCAGCAACATCTAAAAACCTCTGCCACTTTCAAAATCCTCTGTCACTTTATTTTGCTGATAAGATCATGAAAGAAGATAGTTTTATTTGTGCATGGAAACACCAGGAATAGCTAGAATCTTGTGAAAGTGGGATTAAAGCACCGTCGTATAGAAATTACAATCACAGAGACAGAAACTATCTTTTTGAATTTAGCATCACAAAGAAACAGAGTCTCTGTTGGACGTATCACCATAGAGAGAACAAGAGACAGAAATGTTCAGGCTTCTTGGTCTTCCTGGACACCAAATTTCTGCAAGGCTCTTCCACTGGCTGCACCTACAAGAAAGGCAGTTTTCATGGAAACCTGAAAATTGTAGATGCCTGCTATACAGAACCAATCAGGAAATGAACAAGACAGACATGTGAGAGCAAAGATGTAAATGAACAGCAAAATAGGCTGGCTAATGAATGTTTTTTTCTGCTGTTTACAGAATCTTTTGTTATTTAGTTTTTTGTATTTATTTAGTCTTAATGCATTGGTTTAAACCATCGTTTCAATATTGAACAGAAATGGCTATAATAGATACTCATATTTTACTTCTAACTTTAAAGAGGATAATTCAAACATTTCTCCTTTAATATTGAAGTAGGGTTGTTTTTGTAGATGCCCTATGTTAATTTAAATGAGTTACCTTCCATTTTTAGTACGTTGAGAATGGTTTTTATAAATAGTTCCTGAATGTTTATGTTTTAAGTGTTGTTTTAATTTTCCCCTTAATCTGTTATTGTGGTAAATTATATTTCTATTATTTAATCAACCTGGCATTTTTAAGGCAAATTAGATTTGTTCCTATTATACACTTTAATGTGCTACATAATTTAATACTAATTGTAATATATTTTAAATTTTTGTTCATCTTTGTTTATTGTTCTGTTTTTTTACTCTTGTCAGGTATAGCATTAAGTTTAATGAATTAACAGAATGATTTGCAGAATACTCTTCATCTCTGTCATCTACTTTTCTATAGTTTTGGAATGATTTACTGAGAATTTTATAGAGTTAATCTATAAAACCATCTAGTGCTACTTCTTTTATTTACTACTACACCATTTACTTAATATTTAAATCATTATTTAGGATTTTTATTTATTCTTAATTAAATGCTGGTAAGTAATATTTTTCTAGATAGTTGTGTATTTCTGTTTATGCTTTAAATTTACTCAAAGTAATTAATAGTGTGCCCTCATTTTCTTTCTAATCACTTAGTAAGCCATTAAATCCATTTTTATTCTTAATATTTATTTTCTGTGTAACATTTGTTGTTCCTCGATAAGCCTGAAGAGGTTGATAAATGTCATTACTAATTTTAGAAAATCAATTTTTGGCTTTGGTGATCTTCTTTGTTGGCCTACTTTTCATTTTATGAATTTATTTTCTTATTAGTCTACAATCATTGAGTTTATCCTTTTGTTGATTTTCTAAACTCATTAGAGTTCAACTTTCTTCGTTTGTAATTTACGCATTTAAGGCTATAATTTTTCCTTTGCGTAGAACATTTGTTGTGTCTCCCACATACTGATATGTACTATTTAATTATCTTCAGGTGTTATGGAACTTGCATATTTTCATTGTATATGGTCATGTAATTGATTTTCCTACAAAATGAAAATATTATATAATCTGCACTATCAAGTGTGATAGTCACTAGCGGCTACTGAACACTTAAAATGTGCAACTGAGAAAATGAATATTTAATTATATTTACTTTAATTAATTTAAATATAAATAGCCACCTGTCTAATGCCCACCTCATTAGACATCTGAATATAAAAAAGAAATGAAACATGAGCCGACAGAGGATATTTACGTAATAAACATGTGCAGGAGTTGTACCATAATGGTTGTATATTTTTAAGCTGATTTATATAACCTAGCAGAGGAGCAAACCTGAATTAGCCAAAAGAGGACAGAATCACAGGAGCTATATTCTTGAGTAGACCAAATGTGAATGTGGCTATGGGATATAGTAGAGAAGGGGAAGTCTTAGCATAATATAGAAGCCTAAACATTCATTCATAATAGCAGAAGATGAAGCACAGTGTGTGAGTACACATGCGTATATGATGGGAACATGTTGTATTTTCAATATGTTGTTTCCTCTTCCTAATTATTCAATGATCCCTGTATTACTGGAGTTTGTCAATATTTTCAGTTAAAAACTAATTGTCATAGCCACTGTTGCAATAGCTTTGGCCAGTGTGAATAGGCATGATTCACTGTCTGAGCAATCAATCAAGAGATAAAAGTCAACCATTCTTCTGTTGACTTCTTTAGAATGAGGAAGAGTAGGCTGAAGTCCAACCAGCAATCTTCTATTTCTGATATCCTGAGAATGGAAGACAATCATCATTTGTTACATGAATATGAAGCCGCGAGAAGCGGCCATGAACTGTCTTCCTCCAGATATGTTTTAAGGTTATACTTTTTTGTGTGTTTACTAAACACAATTCTTGAAAGAGGCATAATTTAGAAGTGATGTGTTGATAGCAATACAAACTAAAATGTGGCTGAACAAGGTAGTCAGAAAGTAGTTGGGTAAGTTCCATATGTTACAAGACAGAGCTGGCATTAAGAAATAATAATAATAATGACTATTTGATTAAACTTTCATTTGATGTATATTTAAAAATGAAATACATGATTAATGAGACTGTAAAACGAAAGAAAATGGCAGAAAATGTTTAAAACTTTATATGCAGTAATAAGTGGCTCTTATTGCTACTTTTGCCAAAGTCCTGCAAGAAGAAGATGAACTCAGATAAAGCTATGCAGGCTAGTTTGCAGTTTCTATGTTCCTTCTCTTCAGAAAAACAATATACAGATGAGGTAGGAGTACACATGATCCAGAGACCTCAGATTCCAAGTCAGTATTTTGAAAAGCAGGATACTGTTTAAAGGATTATCAGTTGCCTATCCAATATTCTCTCTCCCCACCTTCCATTGACATTGAATCACTCTGCTCTTAGGAATGAATGCCCTATGCTCAGGCACCCATGAAGATGGAGAGACGATAAATAGTAAAAGAGGAAATGAGTTATGTTTTTTGGTAAATACCTTTAAAAGAAGTTGGGACAGCTGGAGAGGTTTACTTATCTTTCCCTTTGCTGTCACTTTTTGTGTCTGGAATTCAGAAGTCACAATTAGGGGTCCTGTAGTCATATGGTGTCTGTGAGTCAAACTTGAGGAGAAAAGCCACTGGTTAAGAACAGGATAGCAGGGGCCAGGCGTGGTGGCTCACGCCTGTAATCCCAGCACTTTGGGAGGCTGAGGTGGGTGGATCAGCAGGTCAGGAGATCAAGATTATCCTGGCTAACACAGTGAAACCCCATCTCTACTGAAAATACAAAAAATTAGCCGGGCATGGTGGCGGGTACTTGTATTCCCAGCTACTCGGGAGGCTGAGGCAGGAGAATGGCGTGAACCCGGGAGGTGGAGCTTGCAGTGAGACCAGATCGCGCCACTGCACTCCAGCCTCGGCGACAGAGCAAGATTCAGTCTCCAAAAAAAAAAAAAAAAAAAAAGAATAGGATAGCAGAAAAGTGAAAAGAAAATTCCTAGAGTTTGTTTTCACAAAATTTGTGAGTTAGAAAATAAAATGGACACCCGGGGGGTGGGGGGGGGGCGAGAGAGAAACAAAGAGAGACAGCGAGGGAAGGAGAGAAACTATTTTTTTTTCCAGTGACAATTTGGGAAGGTACTGGATGCTAATTCCTATTTTAACTGATATAATATAATTGCCTTCTATGGCTTTTCCTTTAACAGTGAAAGAAGAAACAAACTCCAGCTGAGAGTGAGCAGGATTTTAAGGAATGAGGATTTGGAGAGAGGAGAATGTAAAATAGATTTATAGGATAATGGGAGACTAAGTAGGCTGAAATAAATAGTAGAAATGTTA